TTTTACATATTGTCACCAGTGCAGTACAGCGTCATCATATAACTGGCATGGTGGTGATCAGGAACACTGACTGGTAACAATATGAAAAAAAAATTATATTTTATTATTTTTTGTTTTTTTATTATTTTTTATAAATTTTTTTTTTCTTTTTTTTAAGATTTTTTTTTCAGATTTCACTATGACCAAATTAGTGCAATGTTACATAGTAACATTGTACTACTTTGCGGAAGTGAATATTTTTTTTTTGCACAATTTGCTTATAGCAAAGAATTACTTTGCTATAAGCAAGCATTTACCTGAATGACATCGATTCATTCAGGGGTTTTTTTGTCTTTTTTTTGTGTGCTTAGCTGTGATTTGGCCACAGCTAATCACATGACATGTGCATGTGATTAGCTGTGACCATTCACAGCTAGGCAGTAGTATACAATGGATGGCATGAATGAAGCCATCCATTGTATACAACTGTCATGTGACCTGCTGTGATTCGTCACAGCAGGTCACATGGTACCGGCAACGGGGCCGATACTCAGATCTGTCATCGGCCGTGTCCAAGGTACACGGCCGGTGACAGATCGCGCCGCTGCGCCACTCTGCAGGAGCGCAATCTGCGCATGTGTGGGAGGAGGCCATATGGCGTCCACCCGGAACGCTGATGACATTTGCCGCCCGCCATTCGGCCATAGGGCGGGCGGCAAATGGTTAAAGTCCCAATAATTGTGCAAACATATAAAAGTTAAAAAAAATCGAAAGTTCCAAAAAAAACCCCAAAGAAACCCTAATCCACATCCAGTGTGAATATTAAGTGATACAGTAGTAAATCTTCTTATCCATAGCAATTCTCTGTGCGTAGTGCTACAATTAGTGCTCCCCCTCCAGAGCCCCACTCACCACAGATAATTGACAACCTGGAATGGTAGGTCAAATATCGCATAAGATGCTGCAGCGCGCTCTCCTGCAGGAAAGTTGGCCGTCTGTTTGGTCTTGATGCCTCTATACGTCAATGACAGACTCCATAGTGGAAACACCTCTAGATCAATCAATTGTGACAAAACTCCTTCAGAACCTCCACAGTACTTCTCCACCACCATAAAAACATCAAAGAGAAACTTCCATAGCGTAACACCATATTTATTAGGTAAAAAAACATTTAAAATTACACTTACATAAAAACCATGTGTATGGCACTTTAAATCCCAGCAAAAAGCAGTCGCTACTGATGACGTCATATGACGAAACATGTAGAGCGGGGCTTGATAGCGCTACACTTGTCCTCTGAGAAGGAATTGCTGTATTATAGCTTCAATAAATAAACAACAATCTATAAATGAATGAGAGGGGACATTTATTCATTCACCCATCTTCCAATCATAGATTGCTTTTTATTCATGGAAGCAACTGTATTGTACAGCTTCTGCTAATGTAGCAGTGGAGTGGAAAGAATAGGCATAGTCAGCACTCTTGATTAGTGCCAGTAAGAGGTCAAGCACTGGTATTAACCCCCACAGCACCAGAAGAATACTATTGCAGGGTATTGGAGAAAGCAGAGGACTTTGGATTTCCATTATGGCAGCCGACAGCAGCACAAGAATGAGTGATCTTTAATTATGGGTAGCAGTAAAATACCACTTCACGGCCACTAGATGGAGCCGAAGAGCATAGGAAATGCATACATCTTTGTAGCAAGACATGTGAGGTAACAATTAATTAAATAAAGACCGCTAGAAGGAGTTTGATGGTGATTCACTACTGCCCATAGTAAAAGAACAATCTTTCTGAGGAGCAAATAGGGTAAAGAGCATTAGTATTTGCCATTCTAGCACAGAAAGAATGTGCATACAAGAAAATTTGCTGAACAAAAGACTACGTAAGTTTTTTCTTTTATAAATAGAACCCAAAGTGTTCTTTCTGACTTAAAGAGGACCTAAACTGCATCTGAGCACTACAGACCAAAAGCTCTATTTAATGAGTTAAGCTCCGCCCTATCGCAGGTTTACTGCTACAGGGCAGCTGCTCTGCTCAAAATCATGTGAATATATGTGATTTTACATTTCCGGGTGGGGGGAGGCACACACGTGCCGCCCTACCCACGCTGCCATTGGTTGCAGCAAATGTCAATCACCAGGTCCGTGTCTGTCTGTGCCCACACTAAGCATTGGACAAAAGAAAGAGGAGACGAGAATGTTCTGAGGGACCTGAAACAAAATTGTGGCTAAATATTCAACAATCTCAAGCTGGCGATTTTCAGTGGACACTCAGTAATCGTTGCTAAAGCTGAGAGGGGAAAGATCTGTGTGTAAACAACACAGATCTCTCTGCTGTCAGCATGGGCATGCTGCTTTCTATCTCTCTGCACAGTCCAGAGATAGAAAGCAGCATGTCTCCCAAGTAATAAAGCACACAGTGTAAGTACAACACAGCACACAGTTAACTCTTGATCGCCCCACATGTTAACCCCTTCCTGCCCAGTGTCAATAGTACAGTGTCAGAGCTATTTATTAGCACTGATCACTGTATTAGTGTCACTGGAGATGTCAGTGGCCGTTAGTCAGTTCCCACCCAGTGTCAGAATGGCCGCGCAGTCCCGCTATAAGTTGCTGATCGCTGCCATTAGTATAAAAAAACAACAATTCCAGTATATATACACCGCCATTTGTAGACGCTATAAATTTCACATAAACCAATTAATTTACACGTATTGGGATTTTTTGTAGCAAAGACATGTTGCAGAATACATTTTGGCCTAAATTTAGGAAGACATTTTATTTTCTAAATTTTTTAATTGGATGTTTGATAGCAAAATGTCAAAAAATATTGTTTTTTCTCAAAATTGTTGGTCTTTTTTTTGTTTATAGCACATAAAATAAAAACCACACAGTTGATCAAATACCACCAAAAGAAAGCTCTATTTTTGGGAAAAAATGACATAAATTTCATTTATGTACATCTTTGCATGACTGCGCAATTGTCAGTTAAAGTAACGCAGCGCCATATCATAAAAGGTTGCCTGGTCAGGAAGGGGGGGGGGTAAATCCTCAGGAGGGCAAGTGGTTAATTCATTTTTAATATTCAAAGCACCCCCCCCCCCATCCATCCATGTCTCCAGGCTTTAATTTGTTGGGAAATCGCTTTAAAAATTAACTCCCTAGCATTTCTAGGTGCGGTCCTCGTGAATAAGGCTAGGATCACATCTATGAAGATTGCAGATTGTGCGATTTCAGAATGAGTTTTGTAGTGCATTCTGTGTTTTTGAATAGATGTTTTTGATGCATTTTGCATTTTTTTTTTTGCCAATAGGAAAGTACTGAATTTGATGCCACTTTGGATGGGTATAACTTTGATGTGTCTTTGATGCAATTTTGGATGAGTGCAACTTTGATTGACCTGATGCACTTTGACTTTTGGATCGGTGTGACTTATGCAACTTTTTTTTTGCTAATATTTATTATTATTTATTTTAGGTACTTGTATATAGCGCTGTCAATTTACGCAGCACTTTACATATATATTTTACATTCACATCAGTCCCTAACCCTCAAGGGGCGTACAATCTAAGGTAATAGGTATAAGTATAACAATTCTGTTCATGCAGTACAACTTTGATGCAACTTGAGTGCCAGAGAGTGTAAAGCCGCATCAAAGTCACACCCATCCAAAGTTGCATCAAAGTTTCATTCAAGTCGCACCCATCCAAAGCTGCATCATCAAAATGGCATCAAAGTCGATACTTTCCTATTGGCAAAAAAAAAAAAAAGAAGCAAACTGCATCAAATTGCAACACTGCACTTGCGTTTTTGGTGTGGGTCCATTGAATTCTATTGCTCACAATCTGCTGCAGGAAAGAAAAGTCCCTGACCCTTCCCAAAAAACACACCAGTTCAAAATGCACAGATGTGAACTAGATCCATAGGAAATCACATTAAATGGACTGTAGTGCATTCCTGTAAACTGGAAAACACATTGAAATCCGCATAAGTGTAAACCTATGGTCAGGGCAGATGATTCATGTAGTATTTACTTCCTAGAAACCATCTACCCTTAGCTCAGGCATGTAGGCAGGAAGGTGTGCTTAGCTGAGGAAGCCCCTGCTCCCATGGAGACTCCTGGGATGTATGACATCATTTGCCTAGGCCGGGAATCTAGGAAGTAATTGAAGAAATGTTAAAAAAAAAAGTTTAAAACAAGAAATTTAATATATATCTTCCTATTTATGCTACCAGCATTGGGATTAAAAATAGTTCATGTTGATTGAGAGAGTGAAGTTCTGCTTTAAGAACATTTGTGTTTTCTAAATAACATTAGCCTCTCACTGATTGGTCCAAAATTCCTCTTTAAAGTTGTAGTTACATTAATATTATTTCCAGGTACAATGCAAACTGTGTTCTTTTTGCAAATGAAGCCTTATGCACACTGGTGTATTTAGGTTTTGTGCTGCCCTAGGCAATACAAAAATTGACTGCCCCCCTGGGAGAGAGCCTGGCACCGACCAATATCTGCCCTCATGGAGAGAGCCTTCCACTACCACTGCCCCCCATACACCTGCCACCACCCGCCTCAACCCCCCACACCCCCCCTTGTGAGAGAGAGAGAAAGATACTCACCTTCATAGCTCTGGACATCCCCAGGAACGAAAGTCGGGCTCTGCATACATCATTAAGCAGCCCACAGCCTCTCTTGAATCCGACCTTGTCCCCATGCCGTGGGTGTCCTTTCTTCCATCTCCTCCTCCCCTGAAAAATGCCGCCTTAGGCAAACACCTTGTTTGCCTTGTGGCAAATACACCCGTGCTTATGCGACACAAAGAGAATAATAGATAGGTAGTTAGGTAGCCTTATGCAAGTGCACAGAATTACTGCTGAATTTTTAATAGAAAGATGTAACTTTATTTCTTTCCATATACACTATATTGCCAAAAGTATTGAGACACCCCTCCAAAACAATGGATTCAGGTGTTCCAATCACCTCCATGGCCACAGGAGTATAAAATCAAGCACCTAGGCATGCAGACTGCTTCTACAAACATTTGTGAAAGAATGGGTCGCTCTCAGGAGCTCAGTGACTTCAAGCGTGGTATCGTGATAGGTTGCCACCTGTGCAATAAGTTCATCCATGAAATTTCCTTGCTACTGAATATTCCACGGTCAACTGTTAGTGGTATTATAAGAGCTGAGGTGACTGGGAACAACAGCAACTCAGCCACGAGGTGGTAGACCATGTAAAATGACAGAGTGGGGTCAGTGCATGCTGAAGCACACAGTGTGCAGAAGTTGCCAACTGTATGCAAAGTCAGTAGCTAAAGATCTCCAAACTTCATGTGGCCTTCAGATTAGCACAACAACAGAGCACATAGAGCTTCAAGGAATGGGTTTCCATGGCCAAGCAGCAGCATCCGAACCTTACATCACCAAGTGCAATGCAAAATGTCAGATGCAGTGGTGTAAACATGCCGCCACTGGACTCTAGAGCAGTGGAGATGTGTTCTCTGGAGTGAGGAATTGCGCTTCTCTGTCTGGCAATCCGATGGACGTATCTGGGTTTGGTGGTTGCCAGGAGAATGGTACTTGTCTGACTGCATTGTGCCAAGTATAAGGTTTGGTGGAGAGGGGATTATGGTGTAGGGTTGTTTTTCAGGGGTTGGGCTTGACCCCTTAGTTCCACTGAAGGGAACTCTTAAGGCGTCGGCATACCAAGACATTTTGGACAATTTCATGCTTTCAACTTTGTGGGGACAGTTTGAGAATGGCCCCTTCTTGTTCCAACATGATTTTGCACCAGTGCACAAAGCAAGGTCCTTAAAGACATGGCTGAGCGAGTCTGGGGTGGAGGAACTTGACTGGCCTGCAACCCGATAAAACACCTTTGATGAATTAGAGCGGAGACCGCTAGCCAGGCCTTCTCGTCTGACATCAGTGCCTGACCTCGCAAATGCGCTTCTGGAAGAATGGTCAAACATTCCCATAGACACACTCCTAAACCTTGTGGATAGCCTTCCCAGAAGAGTTGAAGCTGTTATAGCTGCAAAGGGTGGGCCAACTCAATATTGAACCCTACAGACTAAGACTGGGATGCCATTAAAGTTCATGTGTGTGTAAAGGCAGGCATCCCAATACTTTTGGCAACATAGTGTATATTAATGTAGGTCAAACAAAACCAATTTTTGGTAGATACTGGTGTACTGAAGAGGAAGACCTTTCATTCATTGATCCATCCATCCTCCGTTCATAGATCTTTTTGCATTCATCGAATCTATAGCACAACTTTCTATGAATGGAGAGGGTGGAAAGAAGGGTATAGCCTGACAAGCTTGATAAATGCTGGGGCTGCAACGTCACTCGGAGAGAGTCGGAATACTACACGGACGGCAGGTGCATGACTCAATGGTCGGCGGAGGACACGCTACATTTTGGATTGCCGCATACCGTCTTCACTATATGTGAGTGTACTACTTGGAAGGAATAAAGCAGTGTTTTAAAAAGATAAAACACTATGTCTGGCATTTGTTTTCTGCATGTGGAGAAACGCATGGAGAGGAGAGTATAGGGGTCTGTATCACTGTGAGGAGTGATTAACCCCAGAGAGGATAATCAGCTCTAAAGGATATTCCTGCTCCGTAATTTAAAGAGGAGAAAATTCTAACAAGCAGGTCCCAAAGGAGGTGGACCAAAAGTGTATATAGCCTAATTGCAGGCATATCAGGAGGTGAGCTTACATCTGCACTAATTGGAGGATTCACAAATATTTTTATCACGGATTCACAATCAGTCACGGATTCAAGATTTTTAGGACACAGAGTCACTTTATATATATTTTTTATGATTAATGGGACTATGCTTTTGCACTAAAAATTAATTTATGTATTTTATGAGTACTTATTCACGGTAATTTTTATATTTTTTCACTAAATTATGATTCACAATTAATCATTATTTATTATTTAATCACGAATATGGATTAATATTATACTTTTTTATAAGTTATTATTCTATATATGAATTTATGATTATTTATGTTCAGGTAACATTATGAAATATAATATTCACTTTGTCACTATAATTTAATAAGGAGCGCAACACAAGATGATGAAATAAATTGATAAATGCCTGTCACAGGTCCTTCGGCTCTATTAAGCCCAGCTGCACCAGAATATTACAGTGGTGGGGGGTAGAAAGAGGATCGTTGGAGGAAGATTTCAATTAATGCAAGAGCCAGCAGTACAAAAGACACATCTCATTAATAGTCTTGTCATAAAGTACTGTGCAAACTGCTGGCTATATATAAATCCTGTATAATATAAATAATAATAATAATAAGTAATAATAGGTCATATCCCTTGTGCTGATCTTTGTTGTTTTTTTTTTTAATTTTGGCTATACGTAGGCTGTAAAGCGGAACTAAACCCACCTATTTACAGTAACTATTTCAAAAACATTTACATTCAAGGTATGCCCTGATCGATCACTGTCACAATTGCTTGTGCTCTCAACTGAACTGTCAAGCCATCAAATGGCTGGTGTTATAACTGATCACATGTGCAGCACCAGGGCAGTTGCAGATCAAACAGAGGCTAAGATGGCAGCTTCCTTGGATGCAAAGAAAAGGGAGGGTTTAGTTCCAATTCAAGGTAACCTTCATAAATACTATATTGAATGCTATATTTTTAATATGTAGTATACACCAAAGATATGATCGCTGGTTACCAGCCAACACTGACATAGCCGACAAATATTATCATTCTTTTATAGCATATCGCACTATAATCATACCATTGCCAATGACATTAGCGTAATTGCATTGAAAGTATCAAAAAGGATGGGAAAAAAAAGTACAGCGACATCCTTTCTTTTCTTCCTTTTTTTTTTTTTTAAGCTCAAATAATTTTCAAGTAAGTTCAGCTAAAGACGAAGAACTATTCCCAAAGCTCTTGCAACAGCATTCTGCATAATCACAGATATTATTTCTTTCCCACAGTTTTTTTTCAGGGGAGATGTTATTTCAAAGGCTTTCATTTCTCTGTGCTATTATCAAATAATCTTTTTTTGTACTTGGTTGTTTATTATTGGATTGTAACTATGGTAAATCTCTAGGGGTTTTGTCTCCTTTGGTATGTTAATTAGTCATTTTTCCTTTGATCTTTTTTTTTCCTTGCTGAAAAGAGTGAGAAGCTATCTCGGTGGGGAATCTTAGTGATGTATACTCATGCTCTCATCTCCTTAATCAGGAGATAACCATGTCATAGGTCTGTGCATCAGCTACAGCCTTTGTAAAAACTGAGCAGCGTGCTGCGTATAATCTACAAGACACATAATTTTCATGTAGATAAATAGGCCCATGCTATATATTTATGTCTTCATAGAAAAAAATTTAAATAAAAAACGATTGAAGTTATTGAAGTGTGAAGACGCTGCATAAGATGGGAAAAATTGAGCTTTTTCATCTGAGAGCAATGCTCGTCTGGTTTCATTTTCACACCCAGGGACTTATATAAGAAGTTCAATAGGCAAAGTAGTCAGATATGTTTAACTTCTGAAATAAAATAAAGCGCTTGTTAAGGCAGCTGATCAATTTTTCAAAGTGTGAGAAGCCACCAGGAAAATGTATTATTCACATCCAATGCTGCTCTAATGACACTGACAATGATGTACGTGTCTCCCCAAGTTTATTTAGATATACCACTTTGAAGAGTGCCGCTCTTATTATTATGTTGAACATGGAAGTGGTCCCCAGGCACAGCAAGGCTGGTGAACAGACTTCAAATAACAGCATAACACTTTGAGCCTTTTTCATTAGCCTTGTCTGGATGATGAGTTTTTAATAAAAATATAGTCTGACGCGTGCTGCGAGCTTCACATGCTATGTGCTACATGTTTTGTGTGTACGGCCTGCGGAGATCAGGACAAGCAGAAATGGGACACAAAGCCTCCTAGATTTGATCACTGTTAGAATCATCTTCGATTGTAAGCTCTAATGAGCATAGTCCTCTGATCCCTCATGTAATGAATTGTATTGTAACTGTACTGCCTCCCTCCATTTCATTAAGCTCTGCACAAATTGCTGGTGCCAAATAAATCCTGAATAATAATAATAATAATATAACAAATCCAACACTATGACCTTTGGCAAATGTAACATGAAGTTTTACAGCAACAACTGGTCATTTTTTCTTAAACAGAAGTACATACAAGGCAGAGAAACACAGGAGCTTGAAATGTAACATTTTTTTTTGTTTTGGATAGAGTAGGAAAGGTTTTAATCTCTGTCATATTTTAACCACTTGAGCTCCAGAAGATTTTACCCCCTTCTTGACCAGGCCATTTTCTGCTATACTGCACTGCACTACTTTAACTGGTAATTGCACAGTCATGCAACACTGTACCCAAACAAAATTTGTTTAATTTTTGTTCACACAAATAGAGCTTTCTTTTGGTGGTATTTAATTACTTCTGGGCTGAAAATCGTGAAAAAACAATATTTTTTACTTTCTACTATAAAACATACCCAATAAAAAATAAATATAATCAAATTTCTTCATAAATTTTGGCCAAAATGTATTCTGCTACATGTCTTTGATTAAAAAAAAACAATGTGTATCTTGATTGGTTTCTGTGAAAGTTATAGCTCCTACAATATGCAGTATATATAGATATACAGTTGCAAGAAAAAGTATGTGAACCCCTTGGGATTACGTGGAGTTTTGCATGAATTGGGCATAAAATGTGCTCTGAACGTCATCTAAGTCACAACAATAGAAGAACACAGTCTGCTGAACATAATACTACACAAACATTAGATGTTGTCATGGTTTAATTGCACATAACATGTAAACATTCACAGTGCAGGGAGGAAAAAGTATGTGAACCTTTGGACTTAACTGCTTGACCCTTCTTTGGTAGCAATAACCTCAACCAAACGTTTCCTGTAGTTGCAGATCAGACCTGCACAACGATCTGGAGTAATTTTGGACCACTCCTCTTCACAAAACTGTTTCAGTGTAGCAATATTCTTGGGATGTCTGGTGTGAATCGCTCTCTTAAGGTCATGCCACAGCATTTCAATCGGGTTGAGGTCAGGACTCTGACTGGGCCACTCCGGAAGGCGTATTCTGTGCTGTTGCAGCCATTGTTTTGTTGAATTACTTGTATGCTTTGGGTCATTATCCTGTTGCATCACCCATCCTCTGCAGAGCTTCAGTTGGCGGACAGATGGTCGTACGTTTTCCTGCAAAATGTCTTGATAAACTCTGGAATTCATTTTCCCATCAATGACAACAATCCGTCCAGGCCCTGAGGCAGCAAAGCAGCCCCAAACAATGATGCTCCCTCCGCCATGTTTTACAGTGGGGATCAGGTTTTGATGTTGGTGTGCTGAGCCTTTTTTTCTCC